GAGGGCAGGCGGGGATGGGGCCAGGCGGGAGCTGAGGGCAGGCAGGGCGGGCAGGGCGGGCAGGGCTAACCCCCCCTCCCGGCCCCCCCTCACCGCTCCCCCGCCGCCAGCCCCGGGCTCGCCCCGCCCGGCGGAGCAGCCGCCGCTGCCATGGCCCCGGGGCCCGGAACTGGAAACGGGGCCCGGAACTGGAAACGGGACCCGGACCAGGAGGCGGGACAGGAACAGGAAGCGGGACCGGAGAAGGAAGCGGGGCCCGGCAGCGCCAGTTCCGGCGCGGGGTCGAAGCCAGGACCCTCCCCATCCCCAGCTCAGCCCTCCGTCTCTCACCCCAGTCCCCATCCTTATGCCCCGTCCTATCCCTGTGCCCAGCCGCGGCGCTTTTCCTGGGCAAGCGCGTCCCGTTCTAGAAGAGAAGGATCTGGGGAAATCTTGGAGCCATTTCCAGAACCTAAAGGGGTTACAGGAGAGCTGGAGAGGAACTTTGGACACTGCCATGGAGTGATAAAACAAGGGGGAATGGCTTCAAACTGAAAAAAAGGCAGGTTTAGATTAGATACGAGGAGGAAATTCTTCCCTGATAGTGGGGTGAGTCACTGGCACAGGTTGGCCAGAGAAGCTGAAGCTGCCCCATCCCTGGAAATGTTTAAGGCCAGGTTGGATGGGGCTCTGAGCCTAAGAGAAGGTGACCCTGCCCATGGCAGGGTGTTGGAATAACAGGTCCCTTCCAACCCCAGTCATTCCAGGATTCCCGTGTTTTGTCCAGCTCTCTAGTACTGTTTGCCATTCAGTGGTTCACACGTGATGCCAAACCATCCCTGGGACTCTATTTGTTTTTACGTTCTCTCCTTTAGTTTTGGCTCCAGCTCCAGGTAATCCCAAGGTCTCCCCAGATGGTTGCCCACGGGAAGAAGCATCCTTCCACAACAGCCTTGCCTATTCTTTTCCTCATCTTAAAGTATTAAAGCCATTTGGTCAAATCTGTCAAGCAACCTGGGAAATGTTCTGGCTGAAGGGATGGCAAATTCCTCCTCTCACCCAGTTCAGCTGTGACTTGGGGTCGTCAGTGCCTTTTCATCCCTGTGCCAGAGGGTGTGGTTCCATCACTGGACTGCCGCTGAGGGCAGTGAAATGGCACAAAATGGGTATAATTTTCACACTGTATTTTGTTTGCATGGCCAGGTTTTGGGGGGGGTGGGGGGCATGTCTTAAGGGGTAGCTTGTGTGGGAAGCTGCTAGGAGCCTCCTCCATATCCAGCAGAGTCAGTGCCAGACAGCTCCAGGACAGACGTGTTGCTGGCCAAGGCCAAACACTTCAGCCACAGTAGTAACACTTCTGTGATAACATATATAAGAAGAAAACAAGTTACTGTGCAGATGTAATTGCAGCCAGAGAGGAGTGGAGTGGGAATATGTGAGGAGAATAGCTCTGCAGACACAAAGGTCAGCGCAGAGGGAGGGGGAGGAGGTGCTCCAGACACTGGAGCTGAGATTCTCTTGCAGCCCATGGTGAGGCAGCTGTGCCCCTTAGGTCCATGGAGGCCATGGGAATGCAGAGATACACCTGCAGCCCCTGGAGGAGCCCATGCTGGAGCAGGTAGATACCTGAGAAGAGGCTGTGAACCCATGAGAAACTCATGCTAGAGCAGGGTCCTGGCAGAACCTGCAGACCTGTGGAGAGAGCCCACGCTGAAGCAGGTTTCCCGGTAGGACTTGTGACCCTGTGGAGGACCCAAGCTGGAGCAAGCTGTGCCTGAAGGACTGCACCCCATGGAAGAGTGATCCATATTGCAGCAGTTTGTGGAGAACTGTTGCCCATAAGATGGAGTCACATTGGAGAAGTTCATGGAGAACTGTCTCCCATGAGACCCCGTGCTGGAGCAGGGGAAGGACTCCAACTCTTCTCCCTGAGCAGCAGCAGGGAACACATGTGATGAACTGACCATAACCCCCATGCCCTGCCTTCCTGCACTGCCGAGCAGGAGGAGGTAGAACTGTGAAGAAGGGAGTGGTGGAGAAGGTATTTTTAAGGTATTTTCATCTTCTCATTATACTGCTCTGATTTAACAATCAGATTAATATTCAGTTAATATCCCCAGTTTCAGTCCGTTTTGCCTGTGATGGTATTTGGTGAGTGATCTCTCCTGGACCTTATCTCAACTCATGAACCTTTGTTATATTTTTTTCTCTCCCCTGTCCAGTTGCAGAGGGAAGTGATAGAGTGGCTTTTGTGGATGCCAGGCATCCAGCCAGGGCCAACTCACCACACACACAGAAGAGTAGGTGGCAGGGTTTGCTCTTACAGACAAAAGTTGATTTGTTTGGAAAGGTTGCATTTGGATGGAGGGTCTGATCTCCTGAACATGACAGCGCATCATTGTCCAGTTGGAAAGGTCCTTGGAGCAGCATCTCCAGCTGGAGCAGGAGAGGTTCCACGAGCTTATGCCCCCTTAGTCCTGCCCAATCACATCCCATGTAAATGGTTATTAATTACTTTAAACTACCTATGCAACATCTCTGAACTATGTTAAGTGTGTACCTTCCACTGTTGCAAACGGTCTGTGCAGTTTGGGTGATGCTGCAGCAGGAGTCAGCTGGGGAGGCCCTGGGATCATAGAATCACAGAACCATTTAGATTGGAAAAGACCCCTAAGACCACCAAGTTCAATCCATCCATCATCTATCGGATGGCCAGATCCGCCCACTCCCTGCAGGGTGGGGACATGTGGAAACATGTGGGTCATTGTTCTCCATTGACTTTAGGTGCAGCAGGAGCTCCTGGGGGATGATTCTGTGATTCGGTGATCCTCAGCGCTGTCCCAAAGCTCCTGAGTCCATCAGTCAGATGCTTCTCTGGGAGTTCAATCCATCAATTGCTTCAAGTTTCTTCTGCAGGAAAGAGCTGGGGAGTACCTGGACCACCCTGGGGCTGGATGTTTACCTGTAGTGCATGTACCTGGGCACAGCACTGGCTCTCAGCCACACCAAAGTCACACCCAGGGGCAAAACTGAATTTTATCATAAGATCACAGACCAATAGTTTGGGCTGGAAGGGACGTTAAAGACCATCTAGTTCCACCCCCCCTGCACAAGTAGGGACACCTTACACTAGACCAGGTTGCTCAGAAGCCAATGCAGCCTGTCCATGAACACTCCAGGGATGGGGCAGGAATTATCCTTCAATCACACTTAAATATTATAGGTGCTGTTATAACAAACTCTGAGGAAAGGGGTCACTCTGGTCAACCCTGGAGGGTTTCTAGGTTTCTCAGCCTGTTCTCGTGGCCGAGGAACACTTGTTTGTCCTGGCTACTCTATCCTCAAGTACTCAAGGGACATTCACCTGTCCTGACTGCTCCATCCCTGGATGGCTTTGGCATTGCACAAAGGCCAACAAACTGCACTGTGCAGAATCAGCGAGTCCAGCCTCGCCTGCCTGACCTTGGGCGAGGGGAGGGACAGGCCTGGGATCCCAGGAGGGAGGGAGGTGGTGGGAGAGAATGTCGCAGTGCAAGGACAGGGATAGTGCTGGCCCTGAAAACCAAAAGGCTCAGATTTGGTAGAGCAGGGAAGGTACATAAAGCAGCACACCAGACACCTAGCCCAGGGCATTCCCTGCCTGGGCAGGACCCTTGGCGTCTTTCCACAGCCACCAGGAAAAGTGGATCATGGGTATGGACCAGAGCCAAGAGACAGAGGTGCATGCAGGGAATTTCTGAGAACCAGGAGCTGATGCAAGTCTTCATGGGAACATGCGAGATAACCAAGTAGCAAAAGGCACCAGCGGAGTTCAGGCAAGAGCAGTGTAGCCACAGCCAGAGCAGCATGGCAGGGTTCCATGTCCGCTCCCTTCTGGTGACTGGAGCCAACCGAGGCATTGGCCTGGGGCTTGTTCAGCATTTCCTGAGGATGCCAGACCCACCACAGTGGATCTTTGCAGGCTGTCGGGACCCCAAGGGACAGCGAGCACAGGTGAGGCTGGGCAGGGGGAAACTGGATCAGGAATGGTGTTTGCAAGGGGCTGGAGCTACAGTCAGGCACCTGCAGCACAGGTTGGGTGGCTTGGGACACCACAGGACAATTTGTGCATGGGATATGTGGAGGGGAGAATGGTACATGGTATGTATAGAAGGCACAGAGCCCCATGGGTTGTGGCAGCTGGAGCAGGTGTTGGACATAAAGTTGTGCAGGGATAGTGATGGAGTGGCATGGACTTTGCCTGGGAAAGCTGAGCCTCTGCACAGCCCCTCCAGCCTCTCCATGCCTACACAGTGCCCTCTCTTACAGGAGTTACAGAATTTGGCCTCCAAGCACCCCAACATCATCATCATCCCGCTCGGTAGGTGCCCCGAGGTGGGGATCCTTTGCCCCAGTTCCTCTGGCGAGTGCCCAGGCTGGGCACACCCTGGGAGCCCCGTGCTGGGAGGGAGCTGTGCCAAGGGGCTGGTGCCTGCAGGGCCATTGGGCACTGCCACTTCTGGGGGAACAGAGGGGACTCCCCCATGGGGACACAGGCTCTGACCTCCCCTGTGTTTGCTCTGCAGAAGTGGCTGACCCTGCCAGCATCAAGGCGGCTGCAGCCAAGGTTGGGGAGCACCTGGGGGATTCTGGGCTGAACCTCCTCATCAACAATGCTGGAATTCTGAAGGTGAACATACTTGATACTGAAATACTGGAGGACATGAGTGAGATTTACACCACTAACACAATTGGGCCGCTGCTGATGGGCCAGGTGAGACCCTCACCCATATTGGGCTGTCCTGGGCAAGCATTAAGGGCATGGGAGGGGGTCCTGCCTCCACTCTGGTTACCAGTGGGCTCTCAGTTGATGAGAAGCTCATGGAGCATTGGGCTGGAGTTCAGGAGCTGGAGCCAGACAGGCTGGGGTAATGGGAAGAGGAAGGAGGATGCCCCAGTGCTGGTGTCAATGTTGCCCACTGTGGAAGGAGCTGGCGCTGTCTGCCCTGTGCCATGTCCGTGTGTGCTCCTGTCCCTCTGTCTCCTCACAGGCATTCCTGCCCTTGCTGAAGAAAGCTGCCCAGGGGTGCCCAGGCTCAGGGCTGAGTTGCAGCAAGGCTGCCATTGTCAACATGTCCAGCATTGGCGGCTCCATCGCTTCTTTCTTTGGCTGGGACATGATGCAAGTCACCTCGTACCGCTGCAGCAAGGTACTGTCACACCTTTGCTCCCCCTGCCCAGCTGTGGGTCCCCTTGCAGCCCCCCCTTCCCCTCCCACCACCGTCCCTGCATTGTCTCCCCACAGGCTGCTCTGAACATGCTGAGCAAGTGCCAGTCCCTGGCGTACAAGGAGCACGGCATCCTCTGTGTCGCTCTCCACCCCGGCTGGGTGCAAACAGACATGGGCAGTGCTGCTGGACACACGGTAGGAATTCCACCAGGGCAGGTCCATCAGAGCTCCTGTGCTGATTTTCCATGGGTGGGAGTTGCTGTCCTGAGCCCCTGCCCCTGGCTTCCCTGCCTGCCCAATCGCTGCTGGGGCAACTCCCCCTGTTCTGGTCTTGGGTGCTGGGAGTCTCCATCCCCTCTGTTCTCATCTCAGTCCCACCCCCTCAGGTTGTCAGCTTTCCCTTTGCCCTGGAGCAGATCTTTCCCCTGGCTCTAGCTGTTCCAGGGCCCTCAGCCAGGCCTTGGGCATGGGCTGCATCTCCCCCTCTTCCCCACAGCCCCCTGTGACAGTGGATGACAGCGTGCAAGGGATGCTGAAGGTCCTCTCCTCCCTCTCTGAGAAGGAGACCGGTGCCTTCCTGGACTGGGAAGGGAAGGTCATACCCTGGTGAGACACCACTTCAGGATTCTGGTAGCCAGGAGGAACCCTGTGCCACTGCTTCTGTGTTTCCCAGATCCTCAATAAACTCCTGCCAATAACCTCCAGCTCTGTTGTGCATTGCCAGCTCATGAGATGGCCCCTTCCCAGATATCCCACTCCTCATGCTGGATGCAGTGGTGCCCACAGCTGCCCTCGACCCACGGCTGTCACTGGCATTCCCATGAGTGTCCCATGGCACTGTGACTGCCCTCTGGAGACCTCCCCTCCAGGAGGCACTGGAGAAGCTGGAGCAGAGTCCCTCTCCTGAGAGGAGAGAGATCTTCTGAGCCCCTGCAGGACTGACTTTCACCTGTCCCAGCTGGGCTGCCTGAGGGGCTGGGGGTCACAGGGACCAGCTGCCTCCGCCCCTCAGCTGGGGATGCCTGGTCACAGGTGGGACAGAGGGACACACAGCGCTCCGGCAGAGCACAGGGATCCTGCCCCAGGCTTGGAAGGGGGGTTTGAGACTGGGTGTGGAGACAGAGCAGAGAGGCATCAGCTGCCAGAGTTTACAGAGGTGGGGGTACAGAGGGACCACAGGGAACACATGGCATGGGAAAGAAGAGAGAGGCTGTTTCCCAAACTGATTCCCTCTCCCCGGCAGTGTGGGGAGGGCTGAGGGTGAACAGGGCTGACCATGCAGGATGATGAGCCAGCGAGCAGAGGCTCCAGCATGGGCAAGAGGCGCTGTCCATTTTCCCCTCACCAGGGCAGGCTGTTCCCTTCCCAGTCGAGGAAGGTTCCGGAGGTGTCCTGTGAGAGGCTGGCCAGCACAGTCAGGATGCCCCTCACGCTGTGCTCCACTGTCAGCGGTGCCTGCAGAAAAAGACAATGGACTGTAACAGAGAGCAGCTCTTGGGGAGGGTGCATGCGCAGGAGAAGCATCCATGGTGCTCATGGGGATATTTTTCCTTACTGCCGCACATCTGTTCTCCAGGCTGGGCTGGGGAGACAGGGCTGGCTATCCCATGTATTCAGTATGTTGCAGCTTGCTGCCTGCTCCCTGCCTGCTCTGCTCCAGAAGTTGGTCTTGGCAGCCCACAGTATCACACAAGATCCCCCAAATGCCCCTGCCCTCCCCAAGACATGGCGATTCAGTGGGGGTCCTGCTGACCCTTCCCTTCCCAGCCCAGTACCTCCTCTGTGCCCATGTCAGTCTTCACCCAGCCAGGATGGATGGCCATGCACAAGATCCCCTTGACCTGGAGTTCCGCAGCCAAGCACCTCGTCACCATGTTCTGGGCAGCCTGGAAGAGGCACAGCCCTGCCAGCACAACCCAGGGAGTGGGTGGGCAGGAGAGGAGACATTTCCCAGGAAGAAAATGTCTGTGGAGATGGGAAATGGGACTTGGTCCTGGGACAAAGCATCAGCATGACCTACTGGAAAGGCTCAGTCCTTGCTTCTGCTGTCCCGGTCTCTGTGCTTCCACCTGGGAGAACCAGGCAGGGGGTGGTGGCTGGGGCAGGGGGTGACCCATGGGCTCCCTCCCCTCCATGGGCACTGTGCCTGGGACAGCATCTCCAGCACCTCCCCTGGCGCCTCACCTTGCTGGCCCGGTACGGGTACATGGGGGCCTCTGGCACCCTGAGGCACAGCCCAATGGAGCCCAGTTTGCTGGAGATGTTGATGACAGCGGCCCGGCTGCAGCTCAGACCCTCCTTCCCTGCACCCTTCGCCGCTTGCTCCAGGAGTGGCAGAAATTCCTGATGCAGAGACACCAATTCTCCATTGACATGCAACAGAATCCTAATTTGAGGACCATCCTGGAGGGCTCTGTCACACACTGTGGACAAGCAGCTGGACAGACACTCCTGGCAGAAGTGCAGGGGATGGGGAAGCTGCCCCAAGGAAGGGCCAGGCTCCAGCCAGCACAGTGAGCTGGAATAGTGAGCCTGGTGCAGGCAGGTGCTCCAAGTGGGGAAGTTGGAAGCATGGGGGATGCTGGCTGGGCTAAGCTGCTGAGCTCCTCTGGGTAGGCAGGGGAGGTGACTTTATTCCCATCAGGGAACATCTTCCCAAGCAGGAGAAACCCAAAAGGTCCAGACATACCTTCACAACCTGGAGTGGTCCAACCACATTGGTGGCAAACACATTGAGCATCTCCTGCGAGTCCAGGGAGTGCAGTGTGGTGTGGGAGCTGATGCCTGCGTTGTTGATGAGCAGGTTCAAGCCTTGGTCCTTCACATGATACCCCACAGCCTGCATGGCCCCTTGGATGCTGGGCAAATTCACTGTGTCTGCCAGGGAAAAAGCAAAGTGAAGGATAGCTCTGATGAGACACACAGCACTCACTGGAAATTGTGTTGTGGCTGGAACCATCACTTCTTATCCAGAAAGGATGCAGCAGGTTTAGCAAATTAAGCACGTTGGAATGAGCAGCACTTTGTCCTTACCTCTTGGTTTTGCAGCCTCAGCTGAATTAAACCTTAATTCAACTCATTTTGGTCATGTGAGGGCTACTGGTAGGAAAAACTTGTCTGTATTTACTTTCTATATTCAAGGAATTTATGATTTTACAAGGGATGCTTGGTACCTGCACACTGAGACTCCCAGGTTTATTTCCACAGGGAAATAAAGCAATTTTTTGCTCCATGCTGTTACCCACAAAGTTTTGGAGCTGACAGATGAGCTGAGGTGAGTACAAGTAATAAAAGATTTGGGATGTAACCTGCAGTATTTGGTTGCAGGCTCTGAAACTGAGCTTCCCTATCCCTACTCACCAAGTTGTGGGGACAACCCCTCTCAAGCAACAAGGCACAACTGAAATTGAGCTAACAGGGATAAGCTTCCTCTTTGCTTAAATATTGGTATAGCTTTTGAAATTCTGACATGCTTCAATTGCAGGATTTTTCTGACTCAGGCAATAAAAATGGTGTCTTTTAAAGTTTGTGTCCAGCTGTTAGGGTTGATTGTTAGGATTTATATCCTGTCCTGGATACTCACCAACTGAAGTGGCTATAGTTTTTTTGTTTAAAAGGGTCATATAATACCTTCAGAATGTGAAACAGGAGGGTTAGACCAACATTAAATTTTATATTTTGTCTTTTAATACCTCAAGTATACCACAGAGCCCTTAAAACTGTGAATATTCATGTGTATGGGCAGGTTGAAATGTGCCCTTGTACCCATGCACATTTCTGTGTCTGTTTTTTGCAGATGCCAATGTGATGAGCCTACTGGGAGTGGGGGACTGCAGGGCTATATTCCTCTTTTTTATTCTGCAACACTTTGGCCCCTGAGCTGTGTTTCTGTTTTCATGCTTAGAAAAGGGTAACTTAGCAAATGTTTCCATGGCTGAAGATTTCTTCCTTGGAGTATTTTGTACACTGATGGGCAGCAAAAAAATCCTTTTTCCTGGCATTTTTAATTGTCCTGATGTTTTTATGGTGGTAAGCAAGTATGTGAGTGGCATAAGCCTTGTTGCTATCTTGTGTTGTGCAGTGCAGATCTTTGTAGAGGTGGCCTGAAAGCATTTGAGGGAAATACCATGGGATAATTTGCTTTGGGACTGTGTGAGGGGAAGGAGCCTTGGGATTTGAGACACTTTTGCATGTCCAGTTGCAAGACAAACCACAGAGTGCTTTGGAGTTACTTCTTTGGATAACAATGGGATGAAGTTCAAGGTTCTGTCACTCCACCACATGTTAAGGATCTTTTGGTCCCATGGTGAATGATTAACTGCTCTGCTTGGATTAGCTGAGTCGTTGCTCCAAGGCACATGGGACCAACACATTTTTAGTCCTTAACCCCCAAATCTGCTGAAATAACAAACTCTTGTCTCCCTGGAAGAAATAAGGGTAGGAAGGAAAGAGGGTGAAAAGAAGTGACAGATCTTACACATTTTTGAGGTTTTTTAAAAAAAAATTCTTTCTGAAAAGTCCATGCCTGTTACTGGTTTGAAGACAACCCTTCCTTATTATGGAGCAAGAGAGCTTGAAGTAGCTTCTCTTTTTAAAAAAAATATATTGTTGCTGTTGATATTTAAGAGCTTTTAAGCTTATTTTGGGACTTTATTGACAGTCTGGGCCTTGGGGTGTATTTTTATAGTAAATATTTTTCATGTAGTAGCCAGTCCCTTGAGATATCCCTTTTATGTTGGCCATATTCTTCCCATCAGGTACTGCCAGTTGGGGCTTACAGTTTATTTATTTTTTATTACAGAGAAGGTGTTTTACTTTAAAAAAATCTACTTAATAGCAAAAGAGATATTTGCTGCCTTTTTGTAGTAAAGCACGTATTCAAGAATGTCTTCTTTTCTAAGAAATATTAAAAAAACTGAACTTGAACTGAAGTGACTTCAACTTTTCAGGTGCTTTTAAACAAATAGCTAGGTAGATAGGTAGGTACTGATATGGCATAGCCTTGATTCAGTTTCCTTATTGTTGGATCCAATGAAATACAAGTATTTAGAAGCTCTGGCTGCTTCCCACCTCACTTATTACAGCAATGGCCATCCTAGTGCAGGCACTTTCCCAAAACATTTCTTTTGGATTTGGATGTTCTTTTAATTCTTCATTAATAAAATGAAGGCTGGCTGTTCTCCCTATGCTGTCTAGGTCAATTTGCTGCCTTCTCCCAAATGCTGATGAAAAAGGTCACTGAGTTTGGCTCACATCCATAGAAGGAAGGAATGGCCAAGAGGGCATTTCCCCAGTCCAGACTGTGGACATCCCATGCTTCTGGGTCAGAGAATCAGAGATACCAGGCTGGGCAGATTTCCCACATGTCATTTTTAGCTATTTTTTTCTCCCTTTTTTACCTGAAAGAAATGCTGACCCTGGCCACCTCCTAGCAGATCCCAAACCAACCCTCCTACTTAGGAACCATCCAGGCAGTTACTGTGCCCTGCCTTGCTTCACTTTGTGAACCCATGTGTCCCAGCCCGAAACTTGGACACTGTATTAGCATCTTTGGGAAGATACATCATACCTTTCCCATGAAACTTGCTCAGCTGAGGTATCTGGACCCAGCTCTGCCTCCTCTGAAGCCAGTTTGACTGCTCCAGCCAGAGTACAGCTTAATTTGGGAGGAGAAGCTTGCCCGGGTGTGCATGGCTCCCTCCCCATGGATCCCTCCCCACCTGGCAGGGCTAGAGCTTCCTGCAAAAGCTGCTCCTGGTCCCACCTCTGAAGTCAGCAGAAAGCTGGAAGCAATGTTGGGTGCAAGGAGAAAGGTTGCTCCATACCTAGCTGGACCAGTTTGATGCTGGAGTGCTGGGCAGCTAATTCTTGTAGGGCCTGGAAATAAAGTGATGGAGCAAGGGAGGAGGTTAGAAGCCACCAGCTGCATGGTTAGATGTCTTCCCCCGCTCCCATGTCACTGAGCCAGGGTAGCTTTGCTTTCTTTGGGGAAAGAGCACAAGGCCATTCCCAGTTGATGGGGTAGGATGGGGTAGGGCAGCAACCCCACAGCCAGCAGGAAAATGGTGCTGCTGGGCTTAGGAACTGCCCCCCATCCTGAGTGATCCCAGCACAGAAAAGGGGCTGGCACAGCCAGGAGCAAGTGCTGAAGACATCTGCCTCTCCAGCCACACCCCACCCTGCCTTACCCAGAGAGCTGGGGGGGTTATGAGACCCCCAGAGCACTTCTGCCCCCACTCCTGGGCTACCTGGCCAGGACAGCAAACCAACAGGGCTATGGGGACTGCAGGTCCCTACTGCCCATCTGGCTCAGCCCCATCCCATTCCCTGTGCCCGCACTGACCTTCCCTCTTGGACCCTTGGGGTCGCGGCAGGTGGCAAAGATGTACTGGGGGGGCCGGGGGCTGGCGGCGAGCTGCCGCACAAGCTCCAGTCCAATGCCCCGGTTGGACCCTGTCACCAGCACGCTCCGAGCCAGCGCAGCCATGTCCCCAGCCTCTGCGCCGGGCGGTGACACATGGCAGGGTTGCCGCCTGCTTGGTGTGAAGAGGAGCCCGGCACAGCCCAGGGTGTGGCTCTGGGCACCCACGGGGACTGGGACAGTGCCAGAACCTGGCCCCTCGCCTGCCCCAAACTTAGCCAGGGTCCCAGGAGGAGCAAGGGCTCCCTAACATTTGGCACATGGGACTGAGTGTCACCTGCACTGATCAAATTCCCACCACTATGCTCCTCTAAAGCCCCAGCTCCCAGAGTCTCTGTAACAGCAAAAGGGTCCACCTCTTCCACAGGCTTGGAAGAGCACTACTAGGAAAAGGAGAACAGGTTCAAATCTGGCTGTGGCCAGCAATCTCCTAGTTTGTGGGGTGAATTTGGGATGGTTGAATTCTGAGATACTAATCCAAACCCCAGCCTGGGAAACACAGGGAGTGAAGTTTGTATACTGCAAGTTCCACTCCTGCCAACACTTCCACCCCCCACTCCCTGTAGCCTGGACCACCCACTACTGGGGCTTCAATCACCTTCACATCCATCACCTTCCTCCTTGCTGGAGGACAATGCTGGATCCTTTTAAGCCCAACAAGTGCCTGTAAAAGCAAGGCTTCTGCAACCCTGGCCATCCTGGGGGCATGGATTTTTTAGGATGCAGAAGTGTTAAAAGAAGCAAAGAGCTGCCATGTAAAAAGCCTCAGCTAAAACAGAAGAATTGGGGCAACATAAATATGAGGTGGGGGAGGAAAAAAGAAGAGGAAAGTAGCGGGGGTGGGTCCATCCCATCTGAATGTGCCTTGTGGTACATACCTGTTGCTCAGTGTGGCAGGGGGGACAGAAGTCTCTATTCCCTGAGTAGCTGAGTGGTTCACTCAGGAGATGGTAAAGGGCCTCCACATTTGGAAGACGAGCTTTCAGGTGGCACAGGTCAGGAAGGGGAAGAAGCATTGATGTCTCCTTCCATGCTGGTGGACAGACTACGGCCCTATGAGAGGTAAGCATGCTGGGTGTGGATTTGGATGGTGTTGGAGTTGGACCTGCTGTAGCACACGTTCTTTCAGGTGTAATCACCTGCACAAACAATTGCACTGCACAGACTTGCCTGCTCCGCCAGCAGCATCCAGAGCAGAGCTCCCATTAGGAACAAATTAGACTGGAGTTTCCTCTTTTCCTTCCAGGCTCCTCAAGAAGGAAACAACAGAAACAAGCAAAGAGGGCTGCAGGACCAGGAATGGCTATGGGCCAGTGCCAAGCAGGGGAGTGACGTTTGGAAAGGGCTGATCAATGTCACCCAGGAACAGCAGCACAGGCACACTCATGGCTCCAGAATCACAGCCCAGGACCAGAAAGTATGCACCAGGGAAGAGATGAGACCAGGATACAAGATCCCAATGCTATAGAGGCATATAACCATCCAGGTTAGACAGGAACTGGGAAAACTCTACTCCAAGGCCCTTCAGGAAGAGCAGGATCAGCAGTGACTTTGGAGCAGGTTGCCCAGGGCTTGAACCTGACCTCAAAACCCTCCAGGGACACTGCAGACTTCCCAGACCCCCTTTCAGTGCTTGACTGTCCCTGGAGTGATTGTTTTTTTGTCAGCGTGGCACCTCCCCTGCATACATGCTGTCCCCCTTGGCCTGGGTCCACAAGGCCCTTCCCGTGAGGTCCATGACTGGAGCCATGCACTGACCCCTCCTGCATCTCATAGCCTTGACCCCACAGACCCCTGCAAAGACCCTGTAGCCATTACATCCCCCAGCAGGGCTTTGATCACCACTCCAGCCCCCCAGCTCAGCACCCCCGAGCCAGCTCCTGCCCTGCCACAGCCCCTTCCCGGCCCAGCCCCACAGCTCCCCGCTCCCTCCATGGGAGCAGACAGCATCATTGTTGCAAAATGTGGAATGTGTCAGTATTATCTTAGGTCAGGCTGTTCTTTGATGTAAGACCTTTGTATACTTTCAAGCCTAATCAGCAGGAAAGGAGACCTAATCACTGGAAGAGGCAGTAGCAGCATCCCTCACTCAAGGACATTCTGGAGCTAACAAGATTTAGGGATTGCTAACTTGGCAAAATACTCCAGGCAGTTAGAGCTAAACTATTGTTATAAATGACTTTCAGATTTCCAAACAATCAAATCTAATTAATTGATAATATACTTTAATAAACTGGATACAAAATAATAAAAAGCTACAATTTAGTAAAAAAATACAATTTAGTAAAAAAAAGATACAATTTAGTAGATATATTCAGATATATATTTATATATATATGAATATAATTGGCCAGTGGTTACAAATGGTTAATGGTTTTGCATAAGCAAAACCAACCGGCGTACAGGGGGGGGCTTCTCACCCCACCTCACGTACAAAACAAAACACTTCAAGCTAAACTTATATTCTGTATGCTTATACATATCCATGAATGTTTCCCATAAGTTTCCTTCTATTTCCGGTTTTTCTGACTTTATGTCACCTTTCTTCACGGCGCATGCCTCACTTGTTGTTAGGGGGTCTTCAGTCTTCTTTTGGGGTCTTTTGGTGAAGGCTTCTCCTCTTCCTCGTTGTCCTTTGGATAACCTTACAGGTTTGCATGTGCATACTAAGCGTTGTGTTATGTTAGTCTATTAATTAGCCTTATATTTTCTAATCTTTAGGCCCAATGCCTAAATTCATTCTAATTTTGGTTCATCTCAAGGCCGTTTTGGTCTTGAGACACCCTTTATCTTCTAAACTACATCCTGTACCTTAATTTTGACATGTAACATCTGCAAAGGGGTACATCTGCTTTGTAACACTAATTCTTGATCGTTTCTAATAATAACTTTAATAACAGTTACAATTTAGTTAGCACGAATCAATTCCATTTATTACACTATCTTCATTGTAACACTAAAAATCACACCTATGGATCAAAAATACCTTCCCCACGTGAAGACCCTTCCCCTGAGCATGAATAGAAGTTAGCTGGGGTTACATGATTTGTATGGAAGGTACTAGGCACTCCTAACAGCAGGGCTGTGCTTGGGAAGTTACTAACACTGAATTCCTGTGTATAAATAACTGCATGGAAAGTCCGGTGGGGTATGCTGGATTTGTGGAATACCACTGAGCACCCAGGCTGGGGCAACTCTGAAATAAACAGTGTCCCACTCGAGTGTGTCATTATCGGCTCGTTGCACACCAGGGAACGAACCTGATTTTCGGGGCAGCATCCCCGCGCCTGCAGGGCCGGCCCCCTAAGATGGCGGCGCCCGGTGATGCCTCAGGCCGCCCGCGTCACGTGGCCGCCGTGTCCCGCCATTGCATCAGCCGGGGGCAGCGCGGGTGGGCGGGGCTAGCAGAAGAGTGACAGCCCCCTCAACCAATGGGAGGTGGTGGCCGGCGGAGGGGCGGGGCGGAGCGGGCGCTGCGGCGCGGCCGGAGGAGCGGCGCGAGGGGCGGCGGTGGTCGCGCAGGTACGGCCCGAGGGGCCTGGGGAGGTCCGGCCGCTGGGTTTGGCTTCTATGGCCCGGCCGGGACCCGCGGGCACAGGGGAGAGGGGCACAGAGAAGGCAGGCGGGAGGGCGGCGCGGTGCGGTGGTCGTGCCCCATGCGGGCCAGCGGGGGGATGCCGGGCGGCCGGCGGCGCTGCCGGACACCGCTGTGCCATTACCCCTCCTCGGGCACTGGAGAGCGGGTGTGTCTGCGCAAAGGCTCTGATAGGCCCTGGGGCCGCTGCTATGCCTGGTTCTCCCCACCGCGGGTCCTTCCCTCCTGCAGCATCGAGGTTGGACTCGATGATCTCAGGACTTTTCCAACCTAATTGATTCTGTGCTGTATATACTCCCAAGCCTTGCTCATAGGGGGAATTCCCGTCTCTCCGCGCCGCAGCAGGCTGCTGGGATCTCGCCTCCCTCCATGCATCCGCATTGCGCTGAGCTGTCAGGGACAGCCCTGTGTACCCGTAGGTACCCGGGCGGTGCTGCCCTCCAGGCTGTCACTTGCCTCTGGTGTGCGTGTGGGTCCCCACAAGGAAGGCTTCCAGGCTTCCCTGGAGCTGGCTCTGCTTTGAGCAGGGAGGGTGGATATGGTTATATTCAGGGGTCATTTTCAAACTTGGTTGTTCCATGATTTAGTCACTGAATCACAGAATGGTTTGGATTGGAAGGTATCTTAAAGCCCACCTGGTTCTGACACCCTTGCTATAGGCAGAGACACCTTCCACTACACAATGCTGCTCCAAGCCCCATCCAGTCTGGCCTTGAACACTTCCAAGGATGGGGAAGCCACATCTTCTCTTGGCAACCTGTGCCAGGTCTTCACCACCCATGCAGGGAAGAATTTCTTCCTAATATCTAACCTAAATCTCTTCTTTTCCAGTTTAAAACGGTTTCCCCTTGTCATATCATTATCTGTCCATGTAAAAAGTTGCTGTTCATTTTTATAAGCTCCCTTAAATACTGGGAGGCCGTAATGATGTCTCCTCACTTGGCATTTAATCAGCTTGAATACTTTGGTGACTTGGCAGTCCCTCTGTCCCCAGCAAGGCAAACACAACCTACTAGGTTTAGTATCCATGTGAATGTGATATTTTATAACTACGTGTTCTCAAAGACTAAGTAACTTGAGGTAGGGCCCCAGAAATCAGGGAGTTTGCAGGAGAGGAAATTTCAGGTTGAGCCACCACTATTTGGGGCAGATTGATTGTTCAACTGAAGTGTCAGTGAGTACTTAACAATATGGGGAGACCATTTCAGGAGTTGGAACAATGATCCCGATGTTCACCTTGAGCTGACAACACACCAGAGCGTTGTTTGTTGTTATTTGTTTAGACTGCACTGAGGTTTTGCCACTTGCTTTGGTCAGTGGCAAGTTCCAGCTTCCAGATGGAGACCCCGCTCACTGCCAGCCAGATCCGGCAACGGTTCATTGACTTCTTCAAGGAAAACAAGCACACCTATGTGCACTCATCTTCTACAATCCCCCTGGATGACCCCACACTGCTCTTTGCCAATGCTGG